CAACCCCTACTGCTGATTGGCTCAATCTGGTTCATGACCTTTTGTTACCCGTACTAATGAAGACCCAAGGCACTGCTGCATTGAGCCATCAAGAGGTACTGTTCTTTTCTTCAGATATTTCCCCTGGAACAGCAAGTTCTGTTGCACATCTGATAGCAAATGCCATGATTTAATGTTAATGCTATATAGTATATTATCCAAGAAATTCCCTTCCTTACACCCAATAATGTGTGGGAGCTTTCAGCACTGGGTGTACCCTTGTTTGTGTTGATGTTATGTTATCCTTGTGTGCAATAGCAGTACTGCACCTATATGCTAACTGTTTACAAATGAATGTGTATTTTATATGTTCTAATATTAAAAGAAATGCTAGAATAATTATCTTCAGATGTAAAACTAAAGAAATTTGTATCAACCGACTATCTATATGTAAGCACATATACGGTATGGAATTATTTTAAATCTTACAAATGGTACACAATTGTATACATGTATCAATCTATAGAAGATCACCATAGAGCACACCAACACCATCACCAACTCTTCTTATGTTGTAGAGATAACAGGCAAATTAATCTAGTTACGTGGAATAAATTATATTATGCTTTATTGGCTTATTTTGTTTTTTCTTTCTGAAATTGCTTATGTAACATTAACATCTTAACTGTGCTGCTTCACTGGAATTGTATCATCAGAACCGCATATTAGGTGAAGTTGAGGAGCAAATTGAGCAAACTTTAGCGATGGTATTTGAGAATTACAAGTCTCTGAATGAATCTTTGCCGTCGGGTTTAGTGGAAGATTTTAGACCTCCAACTGGTTTGGCTGCTTGTGCTCTAGAACCAGCTATAAAGCTTTACAGTCTTCTCCATGATGTATTATCTCCAGAGGCTCAACTCAGATTATGCGGTTATTTCCAGGTCATTCTTCAACTGTTTTATATCTCGATATTTATCTTCTATAGCCAGAACTCTGTAGCTTGATTTATTCAAAAATATGTCCAGGCTGCTGCCAGGAAACGATCAAGACGATACATGCTTGAGACTGATGAATATGTAGCAGGAAATTCCGAAGGCATAAGAGTGGATCTGGTGACCTTTACAACAGCTTACCAGAAGATGAAATCATTATGCTGTAATCTACGTAATGAAATCTTTACAGACATTGAAATTCATAACCAGCACATACTTCCCAGGTATTGTGATTGTATTGCAACATCTGTTCTAGGCTAGTATATTACCATGTACTGTTATTCATTACTTACTTTGTATGCATAGTTTCATTGTAGAGTATTTAGACGCGTTGACTATTCTACTGATTATATTGCTTTTGCTATTGTTTCTATTTTTTTCTATCAATCATTTCAATTTTATGTTTGTCCCTCTGCTTCTACAGTTTTGTTGACCTCCCCAATTTAGCTGCGTCCATCTATAGTGTGGAACTCTCAAATAGACTGCGTGCTTTTCTTGTGGCATGCCCTCCAACTGGCCCTTCATCACCTGTTGCTGATTTGGTGATTGCAACTGCTGACTTTCAGAAGGACCTTGCTAGCTGGAATATATGGTAAAAAAGAATTCTTATGTGTTTGCTAGGTTCTCTTCTTTCTCATGCCTTGTCTAGGCAAGACTGAATTTGAATTTCTGCACAGCCCAATTAAAGCCGGTGTTGACGCAAAAGAGCTATTTCATTTGTACATTGTCTTATGGATCGAAGACAAGCGCAGGACGTTGCTGGAAAATTGCAGGATGGATAAGGTAGGTTCTGCTCTTTCTTTTGCTCCTGTTCATTGTTGATCTATGATATGTTTGGTTAGCACAGGTTCTTCATATGACAAATACCATTTGCTATTGGTACTGTGTTGCCTCAGTGTTAATCCAGTATTTATCTTTGCTTTTATTCTCCATTTGTGTAACATTGGAGAGGTTATATGTAGGTACTGTGCCCTGGCAGCTACTAAAATAGTTTGTCCACCCAGGTTTTCAGTCAATATATTTTGTAATTGTATCTCATTATGCATCACCTTCTCCAATTATATCAGGTTAAATGGTCAGGAGTTAGGACTCAGCATATGACCACACCTTTTGTGGACGAGATGTATGATTTGCTGAAGAATACATTGACAGAGTACGAGGTTATCATTTGCCGATGGCCAGAATACATATTTGTTCTTGAGAATGTAAGTTTGTATCATTCATGGGACCTTTATTGAACTGTTGCACAGCAAAGAAATCCAACTTAACATGTGCTATTTCCTTGCTTTACAATAAAAGGCTATTGCGGATATTGAGAAAGCAGTGATAGAGTCTCTTGAAAAACAGTACGGGGATGTTTTGGCTCCACTTAAGGATTGTATTGCCCCAAAGAAATTTGGTCTCAAATATGTGCAGAAACTCACGAAGCGCAATTCAGTTGGCCCCTATACTGTACCTGAAGATGTAAGTTTTGTTGTTGAACTGTTGGTCCACATTTATTTGAATTTCAAGTCTTACTATTTGACCCCTTATTTGCTTTCAGCTGGGCATTCTCCTGAATACAATGAAAAGACTATTAGATGTTTTGCGGCCAAGGATTGAGAGTCATCTGAAGTCATGGAGTTCTTGTATGCCTAATGGAGGAAACTCTGCAGCTATTGGGGAGAGACTTAGTGAAGTTACGGTAACACTGAGGGCCAAATTCCGAAACTACATGCAAGCTGTTGTGGAGAAGCTCTCAGAAAATGTGAGTGTATTGCGACATTTTATGCAGTTTTACCTTTTCAAACGCTGACTTATTTGCAGTCATTTTAGAGAGAGCTCGCAACCCAGTCACCCTGGACACAAATAGATTTTAATGTCATAACTGATCCATTATGCTACTTTGATCTGGAGTCATTTAAAAAAGACACTTTTTAGGGAATTTAGTCTTGATTATCAGTAATGCTGCTTTGACTAATAGCACTCAATTTTCTGTTCTATATGTAGCAATTTAGCAGTCAATTCAACTGCGGAGACAGTTGCTTTGTTGACACCTTTGATGGATGATGTGTTGTTAAGTTTGTTGAAAAATATTGTATTCTTATCTTCTGTTTTTTTTTTGAAGACTCGCATGCAAAATACTACAAAGCTCAAGAAGATCATTCAGGATTCAAAAGAATTGGTGATGGAGTCAGATATTCGAAGCAGGATGCAAGCGTTGAAGGACCAACTTGTTGAGGCAATAAATCATGTACACAAGGTCACTGAAGTCCATGTGTTTGTAGCTATATGCCGAGGTTTTTGGGACCGAATGGGACAGGTATGAATAGAAGTACCCTTCATATTTTTCTCTTTGTCATACATGTTACTAATCAACCTGGTTTTAGGATGTCTTGAGTTTCCTGGAGAATCGCAAAGAAAACAGAGCCTGGTACAAAGGCGCACGTGTTGCAGTATCTGTAAGTTTATGCTCCTACAGTCCCCATGTCACCCTGCTTGCCAGTGACGGCCTATTTATTTAGTTCTCCATTGTTGATGCTCCTCCTTTCTGCTATGATTAAATAAACATGCAACATTGCAGGTGCTGGATGATACATTTGCATCCCAGATGCAGCAGCTGCTGGGTAATTCGATCCAACAGAAGGAGCTGGAACCACCTAGATCCATCATGGAAGTTCGGTCGATCCTCTGCAAAGATGCACCCCGACAGAAGAACTCTAGCTTCTATTACTGAGCATTTTTGGTGTACATACCAGTCACTGGAAGAATAAGGACGTGTTGACATGCTGCGGAAGATGCAAAGTGAAGATGTGGGAATCTATGTAAAGGAAAAATGTGAAAAATATAAAGATATAAGTACAACAAAAAAACAAGGCTACAGAAGGGTCCCATTGAAGACTTGAAGTGCATGACCGGAGAAGATGGCCTACCAGATAAGTCCATCAAATGATACTTTGCTGGTTAAACCTGGTTCAAGTATGCTTCTGCTGCCTGTGGGATGGTCTGCATTGAAAAATTGGACTGCACTGTAGGTAGTGTAGTTTAAGTGATGCTTTAGGTTAGATCATCGATAGCATCTATCTGTGCTCACACAATTGCCAATGTTAGTGTTTCGAGGTCGATGACTCGTTGATAGAAATTATTTTCTTCTAATGTATGGACGGGACAATTGATTGTTCGTGACGGCTTGTATAGTATAGTAATGGTGGTCGAGCTAGTGAAAGGCAAAGCTACATGCCACTATGCTAGAGATTCTGGCGAAGTTCATGGAGTATGTTTTCGGGCTGATTCCAAAATGTTTTGATAGGTGCTCAGCGTCATATATTTCTCCTGCCTTAATGGTTGAGCTAATTATTACTCTCTTATATTATAAGCTTTGATTTTATTCCTAAACAAATTTAAAAAGTTTATAACCAAAATTATAGAAAGGCATAATTACATTTTCAACACAATGTACTATCAGAATATATTCAATATTACATTTAGTGAAACTAATTTGGTTTGATTTTATTCCTAAACAAATTTAAAAAGTTTATAACCAAAATTATAGAAAGGCATAATTACATTTTCAACACAAAATGTACTATCACAATATATTCAACATTACATTTAGTGAAACTAATTTGGTGTTATAGATGTATATTTTTTTTTGTAAATTTGATCAAATCTAAAAAAGTTTTGAGTTTGGCTAGGAAACAAAGTGAGCACATACCAAGAAAAATAAACAGAGCAACTAAAAATATTGATTTCTGTAACTTTTCGCCGTTTGAAAGCCAAGGCTTTGATGCAAAACCACCTAGTTTAATTTAAAGTTAGTTTAAATATTCAAAATTTGGCTGCATCAGTACGAAATAAACTATTTTGGATAAGTTTGGAATGAACTGCCAATTAGAGGCGTCACCGGTTGAGCATCACCAGTTCACCACCACACGGCCTTCTGCTTACCTGAACATATCATGCCAGTATGCCACATTGCCACTGCCGTCTCAGTCAAAGTAATGCAACAAGGTAACGGCATGAAACTTGTTATAACAAAGAGACGACGAATTCAGCAAAAGTAATACGAAAATGTACGGCCCGAAACTTATTATCGTGTCCATAGACGATGGTGTAACGTTACTTGGTCAATAACATAGAACATTCCAGCGGTAGCACGCAGCAGTGTTGTGACGTTACAATTATTTCAGTACTCATGGAATTTTAGATCCATCCGGAATTACATGATGCGTTTACTGGGCGCTAAGAACCTCAATCTCGAACACCAGCACTGAGTTTGGTCGAATTCCCCAGGCCGGAAACCCACTAGCTCCATACGCATAATCCGGGGTGCACTGCAACAAGAACAATCAGAATGCCAGGTGCCAGAAAGCAAAGCAAATATAACAATAGTATGATATACAGACGGATTCTCAGGAAATAGGTACAGCTTGACATTTTGCAAAGGTAAAAAAGCCCTTTAGTTCAAGCTCATTTGAACACTTCGGCATTTAAGCACTTCAAAGCAACAGGAAATTTTACAGTAGATGCCGAATAAATCAGCAAAGGATTTATCGCGCTAAAACAAACTTGCAGACACATAGACGCTAAAACAAACCAGAAACAAACTTGCAGACATTAATTTAGACACGTGTGAAACCCAAGCGCTGCATACCTGAATACGAGCAACTTCACCCACTTGCATGGTCATAACTCCCTCGTCCCATCCTATAAGCAAGAGAGTAGTGTTATACCTCAATCGAAAGAGTCAACTTGATTTGTCAATGCTTGGGATGTGATATGACTTTGATTGGTTCTTGGAAATGTATGGTGAACTTCTAAAATAATAGTACAAGTTTATACAGCAACAGAAATACAGTATTGCAGTTCGAATATGCCTTACACCAGTTTATATAGCAACCAGAATAAATCAAGGATACATGAGAGTGTGTCATCATAACGAGAAGACACAACTGGCAAGTTATGATCAAACTAAATGCAACATAAACAGTGAAGGCAAACAGTGCACCTTTCTAGCTATATCATAAATCTGATTAGATAATCTCAACTGTACAATTGAAAAAAAATCACAAACAGCAGTGATCTCATGTTCTTATTCATCATTAGTCAATGCGAGGAACTACTTTCGTGAAATAAAATGAAATTGGCAATCGGGATAACTAGATGATTAATCCCTTGATGAGATAACAACTTTTTTTTTGTTTCCACCATGTAACCACAGAATCTAGGAACATATGCACCGATTACCAACTGGCAGAATCATTGTGTATGAATTGAATAGTTATTTGAGATGAGATTACCTTTGATCACCGAACCCTGGCCTATATTGAAACTGAATGGCTCCTGGCCTGCGTCCTTTGTGCTGAGAGAAACAAAGGACACAACATCAGATGAAATTTCTATCTTGTCTGAATATTTTTGGGGGAAAATAACTTTATCCAAAATTACCTCCAAGAATTTTGATTTGTGAGGTCTAACGATAAATTTTCTACCCATAAACAACAAATACACAGCATTGGCTGAACCAACGCCACGCGACGCGCCATCCAAGTTACAACAGAACAAGAAAAGAAAAAGGATAGTTTTTGTACCTCCAAAACTTCTTAGCGAGATCATTATCTTTCCCTGCAGAAAAGAAAGCAGCATGGCAAGGAAACCAAGTTAGGCTTAACTACTCCAAAACAGAAACTCAGAAATCTATCCACAAACCGGACAGAGGTAAACTAGCAGCTGCGATTTGAATCTAAACCATCTATCCAAAAGACAATCCTGGCATCAAACATGAGATCCAACAAGAAATGGATCTGGGAACGAACCACCTTGTTCTTACCGCTCAGGTTGATTCAGCTAAGCACACGCACGGATCCAAGAAAAGAAAAAGCATGAAAGGAAATGTTCTGGGGGAGATAGGGAGGGAGGAAAGCGGCGAACCGAAGCCGGTGCAGTGGACGGTGACCTTCTGGCCCTTGACGGGCTTGGGACCGGTGCCGGCTTTCAGGATCGTCTTCTCGAAGCCCATCCTCTCTTCTTCTTCTTCTTCCTCTCCGCTTGCCTCTCCTCCCTTCTTCTCGATTGGACTCTCCTCGGCGGCGGCGCTCTGTGCTAGTATGATCAGTGGTGGATTGGTGGTGCCGTGCGGCTCGCCCTTATAGAGCGCTAGTAGATTCCTTTTTTATTACACCACCAATCCACTACTTTTTTTTATTACACGACTTTCTGGTGGTGTAATTGTTCCGGCGTCTCCTGGGCCGTTGGATGGAGAGACGATCTTTTCAGTCCTACGGTCCAGCTTCAATGGTTTTCTTCTTTTTTTTCGCAATAAAATTGCATCCGACCTCTACGTATATAGGTTGCGCACAACCATAAAAACATGGGAAACCGCTCAAAAAATAAAAACATGGGAAAGAAACTGGAATAACATAAACATAACGGTAAACATAACGGAAAATACTATGCGTACGATATTTTGTTACATTCCTATAACGATCTCGAAAAATATATTTTGTGTCGTCCTATGAAAAACCTATTAAAAGAACCATACAATATTAGTCGTGAGGCTACAAATGCCGTATTAAGCTGCTGACCGGCCATTGACTAAGGGGGTGATGGGTTGGTTGTCTCACTTTACCATACCACACTTTAGTCATATCACGATTATTTAGTCATGTGATTGTTTCACTTCACAATTATGCACACTTTCTTACTCTTAAGACCTACCCGCACTTTCAAATTTGTAACTAAACATATCACACATGCGGGCGAGAAATTTGTAATATTGGGACTGCAAACACGAGAGCTTCGCTGTTTTGACACTCCGAGTGGATGACAAATGGGTCCATCTGTGTCTATAAAATGTGAGCCTAGTGTTATTATAGCAAAGGTTAATGTTTGCAATGTCATAATTGTAAATCCCCCCTGCGGGCTATAACCAACTATTTCTTAGACATATTACTTGTCTAACCTTAGTTATGTCAAAGTTAGGTATCAACCAAACAACCCATAATCTTCCTAATAACAACATATGATGCCTCTCATGTAATCTCTCTTGCTTGATCGTCATAACAAAAGAAGAAATGATAATTGCTTATGAGAAAACAAAATGTGTGTTATAGAATACTCTCTCCATCCCATAATATAACAATTTAGTACTATATAATATAGTGATGTATCCGATTCGTAGTACTATGATGTATCCTATCCAGTAATAGATGGCAATATTAATAAATGATGTGCTTAACCTAAGAAAGAAGTAACAAGGCTTGAATATGGGATTTTTAACCTCGCTAAAAAAATCTTGTTCAAAACACACTAGCACGTCCAACACCAATATATCGTTATGGTGGTAGAACAAGTATCAACACCAATATATTGGTTTGGATCGCTAGTTTTTCTTTGAATTTTTTCTCTAAAATTAACTGCACCATGGTACAATACAAATATACAATGATCAATGCATGATTAATAACTTCTATTGTGTAAACGCAGACGCTCATAATACAAACACATTAAAAAAACTTTTATTGTAGATGTACGCTTATAATGCAAACACATTAAAAACACTTTTATTGTACTCTTTTCATACTATGAATCTAAACTAGGATATATCTTATACAATCAAAATTTCTTATATTATTAGACGAGGGAGTATATGCTAATCTAACGATTTATAATATTGCTGATTTTCCCGAGCTGTTACAACTCCACCAGACCAGATACTGTCGCAAACCATCCATCCCCAGTCCCCCACTGTGCCCCCGACCGGACCGCTCGCTTCCCACCGGACCGTTCCGAAGCCACCCAACCTAGCGCGGTACCGCCCCCATAAACACGGGGACACACCCGGCGCGCCGCCGCTCATCGCCATCCACCCGCACCCTCCCAATTCTTCCCACGAAAACCTCCCAAATTCCGTAGCCGATCTCTCCCCCCCACCGGCGGCCGCCGCCGATGGAGACCTAACGCCGGATCGATCTCTCCCACCGGCCCGAGGCGGGTGAGGCAGGGCGCGTCGCCTCCATGGAGACCGAGCGGATCCGTCACCTCCTCCTCCTCACGCTCCGCGCGCCGCACGCCCGCCTCGCCCTCGTGGGTGGCAACCACACCGCCGCCCGCTTCTGCACCCGCTAATCCCCCCCTCCCTCGCCGGAAGACTCATCATCCTCTTCGTCTTCGCCACCGTCTCTGTGCGGTATAGCTCTCTCTCTCGCTCGCTCGCTCAGATGCCGGACGGCTGCGTGGTGATCCGGCTCCCGGACCCGCGCGTCCTCCGCGTGATCGCGCGCTCGGTGCTCCTCGCCGTCGCGCTGCTCTCCCTGGCCTGGCTCCGCGATGCCGAGGCCCCCGCCGGGGACGCGCTCCAGGTGGGGCTCCTGCTCCGCGACCTCCGCCGCGAGGGCCTGCTCGCCCCCGGCGCGCGCGCCGTCTTCCTCGGCGCCGCCGATGGAGACTGCCACCACCACCCTCCCGCCCTCGACGGCGACGACATGCGACGCATCACGCCGCGGGAGTTGCTGACGACGGGGGACCTGTCCGTCGACTTCGTGCTGGATTTCGGCTACTTCGACAAGGACGGCGACAGGGTTGGCCTCGTCGACAGGGTGCTCAAGGATGGCGGCATCTTTGCCGCCCCAATTGGCTCGGCGAGCGAGTTCCGCTTGCCGCCGAACTACCGCGTGGTTTACATCCGTCGGTTCACCGAGACTTTCGTCGGGATCAAGAAGATTGCCCGCGTCGGCGGCGACAATGGGATTGCCGGCGCCAGAACAGGGATGGCAGCGACGACTCCTGCTCTGAAGGAAGGAGTTCTTGCGTTTTCTGCTCAAACAGCTGACACTGCCCTCGCTGAACTCAAGAACTTCAGGAGGAAGCTCTTACTGCCTCACATCACTGGAGCATCAGCGGCTCACGCGCATCAAGCGTGGCTAAAATTGCGTCATCGTCCAGTGATTGCAGTTGATTTCCCAGCAATGTGGAATGTGAATAAGCTGCAGCCAGCACATCCTCTCGTCCTTCAGGATAAGGCTGTTCATGGAGCGCAACAGCAGCAGCTCAACAGGAGCGTGAGACTGAACCCATCTACAGGATATTGAAACGAAGCCTGAATTGGAACAGGGAAAAAGCTCAACTGAAGAAGAGCATTCTTGTCCATTGCAAATCCAGGGGGGTGATGCTCTCTGCCTGCCAAAAGAAATGGTTGGTTTGCTTTTTTCTGAAGTTCTTTATTTAAGTTGTCTGTCGTGCGTGATGATTGAGTTTGATGGTGTGCTACTGCTTACCAGTATGTGTGTATGCTTCGTTCGATAGTCTCCAATTTGTTGTTTTGTATTCAGTGGTGACTGGTGATCTACTGATCTCCAATTGCACTACTGTATGGTATCCGTTTGGAATGAGCATTGTTCGTCTTGATCACCTATCCTTGTTATCACGCTTGTGCTTCAGCATGTGCATCTCTGAATAATGCAATCGTAGCAGTTCGGCATCTGGTTATAAGATGCAGTACTGACTACTGAGAAGTCAGAACTGCTGTTTTTTACTCTTGCATATTCAATTCTTTGCAAATTTCCACGCGTATAAGATTATGATATGAAACAAGGCTGGAAATTGGAATAGTTTACTTTGGACATCTCAAGGAACATAAAAGTATGACAGGATTCATACAAAAGGGAACTCACTTCTGCCAAGTTTGTGATGTTTAGCACAGAACAAATACAAGAATATACAAAACAATGTGCTACATGGCACATTTATTTCTACAATTGAACAATCAATACATATTTCCTTGCTCAAATGCACGCGACAACTATCATCCGTAAATACCACCATGTGACAAAAAGATGCACAACAAACTAGTCTCCAAATGTGAAATATGCAGTACCATTACGGATGATAGCGCAGTAGCAACCTCAGAGGCTTGACTTAAAGTGCAGCAAAGAATACTGATCGAAGATGGCTCAAGTGCCTTTGATTACAACAACTGGACAGACCACATTGTTGATGCAGTAGTTGCTCACACTTCCTAAGAACATTCTGTAGAACAAAACCAACTCAGAATTTCAATCAGAAACCAAAACAAGACGATTCATATTTGATATAGAAAAAAAAGGGGAATAAATAAGCTGACAATCAAACAAAATCAAGCAAGAAGTACTTAAAAATCTTCATGACCTAGATACATGAACACTAGATCAACTGCACTCCATAAAATAGGAGTCAGTTGCGCCGAGCATTTGAAGATTGTATGGGTATAGGTATGGCGAGCAGGCCAGCCCCCCTTGGATTTTAGGTTCTTAACTACCGAAGTGAAGAAAAGCTGGATCAAGAAAAGGAGGGGCACTACTAGCCCTCTGCCCCATGCATCTAACCAATGTCTGCCTTAGTGTACTCTTAGAGCATCGCCAAGAGACTAGCCAGATGGCTCTCCAAGTTAAAATTTGGCTAAGTTGGGCAAAAAATCTACTCCAACAGACTAGTCAAATGGCTCTCCAAGCCATCCGGCTGGCTAAATTCCCCACCTCACTAGCCAAAGTTGGCAAGCCATCCGGTGTGGGTTCCACCCGTCTCCTCTCTCTCCCCCTTTCCCCATCCCGTCCGTCCGCCACTCCCTCCCTACCTGCCGCGAAATCTGCCCAGCTACTGTCGTCCATGGTCGCCGCCGCCGAATTTCCGTCCTACGTCTCCGTGCCGCCGTCCGACCTGCACCGCCACCTCGGCAAGCTGCTCACCAGTGGGGACGGCACGGACGTCACTCTCGAGGCCGGCGGCGAGACGTACAAGGCGCACAGGTCCGTGCTCGCCGCCCGCTCGTCCGTGCTCAAGGCGGAGCTCCTCGGCCCGATGGCGCAGCCGCGGAGCACCGCCGCCGCCACGCCAACGCGCATCAACGACATCGAGGCGCCGGTGTTCAGGGCGATGCTGCACTTCATATACACCGACCACCTGAGCTCGACCATGGCGACCGACGGCTTCGAGCATCTCACCACAAGCTGCCCTGCCATTCTCAAGGAGCTCATGTCCAAGCTTGTTGTTCACTGAACACTGAATATTCAGCAGAAGCATATTAAGTAGGATGGTGTCAATTCAGAGCTAGTGTGTGATTCTACTCTGGAGTGTCAAATAGCTAGACCTATGTATAATTATCGTCATCTGGTTCGATCTGGTGCTAATCCCGTGTATAATTATTATCTGTCATCTAGGCTAGTTTAGATGGTGTGATGCATCATGCTCCTCCTCTCTATGTTTGTTTTGGTTTGTGGTTGTATCCAGCATGGACAGAGCAGTATCGGTCAAATGTATGGTGATAGCCTGCAACTGTCCTCGGCTCCGCCTCCTCCTCAACCGGGCACCCGTCGTCGGCACCGCTGCCCGCCATCCACCGTGCTGCCGCCACATGGGGGGCTTGGCGCCGTCCGGAGCACGACGCCGCTTCTGCCAGGGCCGCCGACGCTGGGGAGACGGCTCCCGGTGTGCCTCCACCGCTGACGACTTCACGGAGCCCGGCGACCCCGAGGCACGCCATGGTCATCCTCACAGCGCCACCGTCGTCGTCCTCACAGCGCCGCCGTCATCGTCCTCCTAGTGTCGCCCGTCCTAGCGCCGCCGTCATCGCCTTCCCTCGCCGTCGCCGTCGACTCGCACGGGAGAAAGAGGAAGAAGGGGGAGAGGAGGAAGAAGCAGTGATTGACATGTAGGGACCCTGTGTCATAGACTGAAAATAGAGGGGTAGATGGAGAGGCCGTTGGAGTAAATAACTAGTTTGGCTAGCCAAATCAGATGAAAAGTTGGCTATATGGGTGTTTGGAGAGTTCGATTTGGAGAGGTCGTTGGAGATGCTCTTATGGCCATCATCTACTTAGGCTGCAGAAGTAGGGTTGGCTACTGTGAGAAACTTCCATGTCGAAGCATAACCAAGTCCAAACTAGTAGCAAAATTAAATGACCCAATGCAAGCTAATGGTTCCACTCCCTGCTCACTGAATGCTTCACTTGTGTTGTCAGTATTCACTTTTATGAAAAAAAATGCTGGTGCCACTTGACAAACAACGAGATTGCTTAGCTGTCTTACAGGGTTTGTGTCAGGTTCCAGAAATCATCTCTTGATTAGGCTAGGAATAAGAATAGGAGTATCAAATAAGCAAGACACATAGAACGATTCGCAAATACTACAGAATGTTTTATTTTTCCAGTTTCAAAGCTCAGATTTGCACATAAATCTTGCGTTAAAAGCTTATAAACAGGTCAAGAACTGAACTTGGAGTTGGAGCAAAACAAGTGAACAGATAACTATTATAAAATTACTGTTGCCCAAAAAACCAACTTTCCCAACAGGCCCCTGCCTGATGATGGCAATATGGTTTCAGTAACTAGAATTTCCCAGATAGCTTATCCCCCCCCCCCGGCCCCCCTAACCATTGTGTCATGTGCATCTTCCAATGGCCTGAAAATTCCCTGATGTGTAGCCTAGCCCCACCAGCAGTACTGAATACTGATTCCCCATATATTGCAGAATGTGATACAATTTACTATGGAATTGCCCTCTCAAAAAAAAAAACTACGGAATTGCAGGTCTGTTCCCTATTAAGTGGACAGAATCAAACCACGCCAAGTTAGCTAACCAGTGCAGAGAGAGTGCTTATTATCCATTACCTCTTGAGGGGGCCAAAAGCACGGCACCCCATGACGAGCAGATCGGCCTTGAGATTTGCCGTCACCTCGCAGATCTTCTCCTTAGGATCCCCAACGACCACATCCGTCTTCACCTCCACCTGCAAGAAGATCATCCCAATCATCAAACGAGAAGGCTAGAAATCAAAATCGTCGAGCAATTGTCAGCACAAATGTGGTTCCCCTTACATTCTTCTCGGAGCAAATCTTGAGCGCGTGATCCAGGATAGCCTGCGTGATCCGCCGCTGGTGCGCCTCGATCGCCTGCGTGAACGCCGGCACCTCCACCTCGCCTGATCAGCCGCGCGTCACATTCAGGAAGCCATCAAACCCAGCTCGACCAAACAAATTTCGCAAGAACCACAGCTCACAGCCACAGGACCAAGTGTCCGTCCTGATTTCCGCGAAGACGAGTGCGAGAGATTGCTTACTCGGGCCGCCGAAGGGGATGGGTCCGGGGTTGAGCCCGGCGGCGATGCTCGGCGGCGGCTGGACGTGGAGCACGACGAGCGCGCCGTCGGGGCGGAGGCGGAGGTTGTCGAGCGCCCACCGCAGCGCGTTCATGCTCTCCTCGCTCCCGTCCACCGCCACCACCACGCTGGCCAGGTTGCCGGTCGCCATGGCGAGCTCCCTCAGCTCCGGCCCGAGCTCGCCTCCTCGCGCAGTCAGGGGTCGCGGAGGCGCGGCGATGGTTGCGTCGCGTGCTTGCTTCTTCTCCTCTCGTGCTCAGCTCGATCAAACGAGATGACTACGCAGCCTTCCGCTGAGCTGTGCAAGTGACTCCTTGACTCTCTCTCTCTTGTCATGTCACATGGCCGTCTGATGCGCTTTGGGTTGGGAAGCTTGGATCCGTCGGATCAACGGATCGAGAGATCGCACGGCTCAGATGACCTGCTCCAGTCGCTTACCACCGGGCTGCTTTCTTCAAGCATGAACCGCGCTGATCAACTGACTGGTTGTCTATTAAGGTGTGTTTTAGGGATAGGAGATTGATAAAATTGGGAAGATACGTAAAACGAGGTAAGCCATTAGCGAATGATTAATTGAGTATAAACTAATATAAATTTCAAAAATGGATTAATATGATTTTTTAAAACAACTTTCCTATAGAAAAATTTTGCAAAAAACGCATCGTTTAGTAATTTGGGAAGCGTGTGCTCAGAAAACAATGTACTTTCTAACTCAATGTATCTAGAACGAATGCAGCCTAAGTGGAGTACTCCCTCCGTCCCAAAATAAGTGTAGTTTTGCACTATTCACGTTCGACGTTTGACCGTTCGTCTTATTTAAAATTTTTTTATGATTAGTATTTTTATTGCTATTAGATGATAAAATATGAATAGTATTTTATGTGTGACTAAATATTTTTCAAATTTTTCACAAATTTTTTAAATAAGACGGACGGTCAAACGTTGGGCACGGATATCCACGGCTGCACTTATTTTGGGACGGAGGTAGTAGTAATTTGGTTGGGTGGAAGTAGTATTACTGATATGACAGCAGCGCTGAGATTACTGCAAGGTAGGAAGAGCAAGTTTAATAGCATAGTCGACTACTAACTCCAAATCATCTATAACCAATGTAATAGTAAACTCATACAATAATTGCTTACTATACTATTAATATGTGGTTCCACATGTCATACACACATTACGTCTTGAAGTCTGTGCTGCAATTGGCTATAGATCTATAGCCCGTTGCTCTTCTATTCCTTCTTCTATCTTCTTAAAATATATTTATAGCTGTCTTATAGCCTACTATTGTACCTGCTCTAAGAGCAAGTATAATAGTAGACTGTAAGTCGGCTAAATGCTGAGGTGAAGAAGAGAAGAGAGGAGAAGCGAGCTGTAAACTTATAGCTGGTTTGGACACAAGAACTAAAAAATTAAAAAATTATGTGAGATAGACAAGTGGGTCCTGTATTAATTGTAAATAGCTAACTATTATATGTGTGGGTAAAAAAAAAGCTATAAACTACTTTATAATTAATAAGTTGGCTGTATTATTATCCTTGCTGTAACAGCGTTGCACATGAAGTGATGGTGCAGTGATTCAGTGCAGGTGGATGTGGTTTGACCCGCCATTGATCCATCGGTTATTCGGTTGTTCCTCCCGGCACGACAGGGTTCACAGTTGTTAAACCCCGGAAAAGTCTTCGTCGCATTACAGCCTGCTCTGAATCTCCATCTTGTAAATTACTTCCTTCGTAAAAAGAAAAAAAATATATTCCTAGCATCTCAAAATAAAATTAGTGGATATGTAGAAGAACTAAAATATCCTTAATCATGAAAAAAATTAGTAAGAGTAATATGTATAGGTAAAGAATATTATAGGGATAAAACTTCTCATTTTACGTGCTGAGGGTAGGGGTGGACAAAAAGCTTGGGCTCGTGAGCTCGGCTCAGGCTTGGCTCGGGCTCGCATAGCTCGGCTCGGCTCGAAAGCCAAACGAGTCGAGCCTAAGCCTCCTTCCTAACTCGTTTCCGAAACGAGCCAAGCCCGAGCTGGCTCACGAGCCGCTCGTGAGCTCGCTTGGCTCACTGCAATAGGGTCATATGCAAAAATTTTGCACCTTTTCTAACTATTTATTTGTTAAAAATGATAACTTTAATTGTCATATTATATATTTATGTGTTGTGATGACATATTAAAGAAAAATTATCACATTATTACACATTCTATGTGGTAAAATGTTGTTCGATTTCTCTTAGATTTGCTTGAGATTTACTCGATGCCAGGCTCGCGAGCCAGCTCAGCCCATAAACGAGCCGAGCCGAGCTTCCCTTGCACCAAGCTTTCACGAGCTAAGCCAGGCTCAGCTCGGCTCGTTTCCACCCCTAGCTGAGGATAGGTAGGATGGTAGAAGTTAGTTTTTGTGGGATAAAATTTAAACTCTAGAAATTGAGTTTTTTTACGATGGAGGGATTAAACGCTGTTTTAAAGCGTTCGTTTCTCATGAAAAGGGTGGATGAAATTTTGGATACTCGTGGCACGCTTTTCAATATGCTAAACGGTGCGTTTCGTGCGAAAACTTTTTATATAAAAGTTGTTCTAAAATATATGATTAATCCATTTTTCAAGTTTGTAATAATTAAAACTCAATTAATTACACGTTATTACCACCTGGTTTTACGTGAAACACTTAATTTTTATCTTCATCTCCATCTTCAGAAGATTCAAATACCAACTGAATTTCTTGCAAGGTCAATAACCAGACATGATTCTGACAAGGAACGGTGTTTCGGCAGGCTCGTAGCCTCCTGCCAGCATGAACGGATGAACCGAACTTCTTGACATTGGCAATGGCAAAGCGTGCTTCGAGGTTAGAGCGTCTCTCATCTGGGGACGAGTTTTGCCTTCACACAGGCATGCGAGAGCACAGCGCACTACAGACTACAGTCTGCATATCTGCACAAGGCTTGTAGCATCTAGCAGTTCATCCTTTTTTTTTTTACGTCTTGCGAAGTTCTAGAGCAGAAAAAAATTATAATGTTACTACCCTGGAGGATCGTAACCAAGAAAAAGAAAAAAATATACCACCACCCACACGACGACATCGCCATCACACAAGGCCAGGAGAAGGCTAACACCGGACCGGCTGCCGCTAAGCGTGACCGACCGCCACTAGGCCAACAAAGGGACACAGACGAGGTCGCCACCTAGGGGATGCCAAAACGACGTCTTCAAGAAGAGAAGCGACAGAGAAACCGCCGCCGTCATCCGTCAGGACTCAAAAGAGCCAAGACAGGGCTTTCGCCCGGCAATCACCCTTTAGGGGTGAGACAGCACGACAACGCCCTCAGGAGGGGGGATAACCATCGTTGTCTGTCCGACCAAGGCCGGACTGGGTTTTCACCCGTCGCTCACCACTTGCGAATCCACGCGTGACGCACCGATGCTCCACCACCACACAAGCTTTGTCGACATGTGGGACCCCTGCACCGGTGTCCCCCGCCGGCCAGTCTTCATTCGCCAAAGACCGCACCACACCCACCGGCAGCTCCTCCTCACACCTAGGTCGCCTCCTCCACCGCCGGCCGCGCCACTCTGCGCCAAGCCGGCCTCCTCCACCGGACGCGCCTCGCGCTAATCCGGTCTCCCTCCATCGGTCGCGCCTCCCGCGCCAAGCCGGCCTCTATCTCTGCCGCTCGCGCCTCTCGCGCCGAGCCGGCCTCCACTGTCATCGGCTGCGCTTCTCTGCGCCAAGCCGGTCTCCGACCCCTCCACCAAACGATGCCGCGCCGGCCAGATGTAGTCGTCTCCCACGCCCTCAGCTAGCCGTTTGAGGTAGCCATGCCTCCAGTGACTGCAGACACGGTCGCCACCACCGCAGCCGCTGCTGCCTAACGCCCAGCCACCTCGCCGTCGCCATCCTCGCCTCGCAGCCGACTCCTTCCCCGCCGCCGACGTCGCCACCGCCTCCACAAACGGCCGCCGTCGTCGCTGCCACCGACGCCAGCCCCCGCATCCACAACCTGCCGCTGTGTCGTCGCCCTTCACCAACATGCGGCTGGCCGCCGCCCGATGCCATGTGCACCACTGCCGCCATCACCAGCCGACACCGCAGCCGCCAACTGCCGCAACCGCCGCCGTCATCGCCAACTGCCACCACTGCCATTGCCACACCGCCGCCGTCGTCGCCGCACAGCCGCCGCCTGTAGGATCGAGATGTCGACTAGAGGGGGGGTGAATAGGCGATTTAAAACTAAATGACACCTAATCAAAACTAACCTAAGTTGCTAGGCTTGGTGAGGGTCAACTCTAACTAAGCAACTAAGTTATGTTTTGCAAACCTAAAGTGATAGTGGCTCAATTATATCTCTAGGAAAAGTAAATCACACTCCTATGTCAATGTTTAGCAATCCTAGGGTGATATGATTTCAAGTATGTCTCTAGAAATGTAAATTGCACAAATGTAAATGCGACAATCAAATTAGACAAGGGGACAAGAGATTTTTCACCGAGGTTCGGAAACTCGCCGGTTTCCTACTCCCCGTTGAGGCGAGCCCAACTCGACCACTCAACCACGAAGCCACCGCACGCCCCCTTCATCAAGGGGTGGGCAAGGCGGGAGCCGACCCACGGAGAGGACTACCCAAGCCTCGATCACTAGGGTAGTTCTTCCTTTACTCCGAAGGTGGTGAACACCAAACCACTCACAAACCGGCGCCGGGCCTCCTCCACAATCTTCTCGGAGAAGTCACCGGGCAACTTCTCCACAAGCCGTCTAGGAGGCGGCAACCTACAAGAGTAACAAGCAATGACCCAGCGTGGAGATGATCAATCAAGTGCCACACTAGCTCTACAAATGGAAGCGATGCACTTGACTCTTGGCTAATCAACCCTCTAACACACTAGATAGATGAACACAAAGCTCAAGTGGGTGTGAGAGAGGTGCAAGGGATGTATGCAATTGAATTGGGTGCCAAGAGAGTCCCCTTGTTGCTGGTGGGGAAGTATTTATACTCCCACCCACCAAAACTAGCCGTTGGGGGCGAAATCCCCCAACTTTGTGCTCTGCCGGTCTGACCGGAGGTATGTAGCCGGTCAGATCGTGCTACTCTGCAACGGCTAGAAAACTAGCCGTTGAAGTGCTGTCAGAGGGCTCCATCGGCCTGGCCGGTCAGACCAGTGTTGAGTGGGCGGTCAGACCGGCCTCGGCTCGGTCAGACCGCCATCGGCTCGGTCTGACCGACTACGGCTCCGTCGGCTCTGTATCGGCCACCCCGAGCAGCACCATCCCGGCCTCCAGGGGCCGGTCTGACCGCGCATGTACCGCCGGT